GACTGCTAGCCTGATTTCTCACTATCTCCTCTGTCATACTATATACTCCATACCAGGGGTGGGGAACCTGTGGCCTTGAGGCCACTTGAAGCCCTCTAGGTCCTCAAGTGCGGTGCCTTTGATTGAATCCAAACTTCACAGAACAAATCCTCTTATTAAAGAGATTTGTTCTGTAAAATTGGACTCAAATGGCCATACTTGAGGACCTAGAGCACCACATGTGGCCTTGAGGCTACAGGTTCCCCACCCCCGCTCTAGCCAAACTGTCCTACTTTTACAACATTACAGTCATCCCCCATGGCTAGAAAGGTCTTCTTCCTTATTCTGACCTCTCAGGAACTCTGTTTCCTTCAGCTTTGGTGTCCTCTCTCCATGAGGCCTTCCCTGATCCCTCCACTTAGTCTTTCCCTCACTAAAATTATTCTTCTGTTTTTGCATACATTTTGTATTTACTTTTCTGTACATAACATTTTCTTCAATGGTAGGTGATGAATAAGTGACTGAAACATAAGTTCCTTAAAGACAGAAATGACTCTTTTTTGTTTTGTTTTGCTATCCTTGGCACCCAGCAAAGGGCCTGGCATGTAATGGGTACTTAATTAATGCTTGTTAATTTGAAATGAGAGGTACAGATGAAGTTTTTTCAATAAATTTTCCTAGTGTCTAGTCTTGTGTCTTCTCTCTGTTTTCTATGATTTTTTTATATAAAAATGTTGCCAGCAACTGAGCTGCTATTATATTCATTAGTTCTTTTAGAATTATTGCACATGATTCATCTGGGCCTAGTGAAATTCACAGAGCTACTTGGTATTTGATATTCTGTTCCCATGTCATCACTTATCTTGGATTTCAACTCCATGTGGTTCTATCGTTTCCCCTGAAGGACTACCTGTTGGGAATAAAAGGAATGGACAATGAACTGTAGATGCCAATAATAAAACTGATGGGAAGGCAGGTCACAGGTGTTTACTGAAAACTTGCTGAACTGGGGGCAGGTAGGTGGCACAGTAGATAGAGCACTGGCCCCGGAGTCAGGAGGATATGAGTTCAAATCTGGCCTCAGACACTTGACACTTCCTAGCTGTGTGACCCTGGGCAAGTCACTGCCATTTAGCCCCGACTGCCTCACAAAAAAAATAAAACTTGCTGAAATGAATTCAAGATTTCTAGTATCCAAACATCTGTTGGTGATATTTCCATTAAGAGCAGAACGTATGATCATATGACCTACAACTATAAAAGGAAAACTGGCTCAAAAGAGATTCAAAGTTCTCGGGAAGAAAATTTTGATGATAAGGTAAATAATGCTAATGAGGAGGAAAAGAGAAAGCTACTTAAAAAATAAAAGCCACCCAACAACTGAAGATTAGTTCCTGCAGAGGGAACTAATCTATAAACTCAGATTTAAAATACAGTACAGATGAAAAAAAGATGGATGCCAGAGGACAAATACAAAAGAATAGCAAGATCCTAAATGGATAAAGGCTAAATAAATCCCAGAAAGCACTCAGGCTTGTGATATATCTGAAGAAAAACAAAAGGGGCTTTTAAAAAGCTATGTTGATAACATGATAGGGAAAAGGCTCCAGCTTAGGCTGGGAAGATAAAAATAATAACATATGATAGATAAAAGGTAGAACTATTAAACATCTTGTTTACTTTTTTTTTTCTATCAAGAAGAATCACCTTCACCTTGCAAGATGGAACAGCAATAGCTAATAGGGAACTGAAACCCAAGATAAGTAAAGAGCCAATAAGAGAGCACATATAACTGTACTTAACAAATTGTCTTTTGCCTTTCTTGGTATCCCCAGTGCTTAATACATGCTTATTGACTACTTGAAATCACCAGGTCCAGATGTATTACACCCAAAGATATTGAAATAATAACATGTAGATTACTGTAGCCATACCATGGGATATAAAAGCCAGAAGGGACCTTAGTGATCATTGAGTCCAAACTCCTTATTTTATGGCCTTTGAAACTGGGGCTCAGAAAGGAGAAGTGACTTGTCTAAGGTCATGTGGGCAGGACAGGGCAGAGGGAAGGAGAAGAGAATAAGCATTTATTAAGCACCTACTATGTTTCAGGCACTAAGTGCTTTACAAATAATATCTCATTTATTCCTCACAATAACCCTGGGAAGTTGGTGCTATTATACTTGTTTTACAGTTGAGGAAACTAAGGCAGATAGAGGTGAGGTAATGTGCCCAGGATCACACAGCTAGTAAGTGTATGATTTAAAATTCAATTCTTTCCTGATTCCAGTCCCAGTACTCTGATGCAGAGCTGCGTTTTGTACTCATCCTAGGAATGGAAGGGAGGAAGACTCTGTGTTTAACTCTAGTTAGTGGTCCATGAGGAATGGTGTAGAGCAGGCACATAGTTACTTAGTTCTGGAATGCTAACCCAGACTGTATTTTAAGCTCTTTATTTACCCATATTCAAGATTCCTATAAATGTTACCTGAAATACAAAGACAACAGAAATATATAAAACCAAAAGCCATTCCTCAATAGATAATTACTCAAAGGATATGAACAAATAGTCCTCAAAAGGAGGATTACAAGCTATTAACAAGCATATGAAGCACTAACAATGAGAAATGCAAATCAAAATAAGTCTAAGGTTTCACTTCACACCTAGCAAATTGGCAAAGACAATATAAGATGGAAATGTGTTGGAGTGGTTTTGGAAAGAGGCACACAAATGCATTGTTGGTGAAGCTGTGTACTGATCTAACCATTCTGGAAAGCCATCTGAAACAATACAAGGAGAAAGATTAAAAAGTCCATACTCTTTCACCGAGAAATTCCATGAAGGCACATACCTCAAGGAAATCAATGACAAATGAGAATGTCCCCTTATACACCAAAATATCTATGGCAGCACTTTTTGTAGTAGCAAAGAACCAGAAATAAAGTAGATATTCATTTCTTGGGGAATGGCCAAACTGTGGCAAATGGAAGTAATGGTATATTATAATCTGCTCTATATGAAATGATAAATACAGAAAAGCATGGAAAGGCTTACACAAACTGATAGAAAGTGAAGCAAGAACCAATATACACATGACTACAACACTGTAAATGGAAAGAACAGTTTAAAAAATTATATTGAATTATTTAAATTTAAAAATTTTTAAAATTATATTGAAGCTTTGCCAAAAAAATAGATCTGAAAAGGTGCTTCCTTGCATATCATGCCAGTCTTTTTGAAATGTTTGTTTAGCTGAAATTCTCCCTCCTGCAAAAGTCCTTTTTATTATAAAGAGGGGGGGCGAGGGGGGGGAAGAAATGTAGCTGATATAAAAACAAAAGATGTCAATAAAATTTAATCATTAAAAAAGACTATTTAATAGGGATAAATGAAGTTCCACATTTGGGTCCATAAAAATCAACTGTATAACTATCAAATGCAAAAGATGTTGCTAGAAAGACATTCACGTTAACAAAAGTTAAGGTGGACCTTAAAGACCTAAGTAGTCTGAAAATTCAATTTGATTCAATAGTTTGATGCTGCCAGCAAAATAGTTAACACCATCTTAAGCCACATAATCAGCAGTGTTACTTTGTATATATTTTGTACTTATTTAAGATCGATTTAGAGCCAGAAGAAACCCTGCCGGGCATCTAGTTCAAGGCCTTTACAGATAAGGAAACTGAAGCTTAGACAGATTAGATGTCTCATCCAAGGTGACAAGGCCGGTAAGTGGCAGAGCCAGGATCTGAATGTGGGCCCTTTGATGTCAATTGCTGTGTCCTTTCCCCAGTACTACACTGCCTCTGAAGTTCTGGAAGGTCCCCTGGCACACTGTTCCTTAGCCCTGTAAAATGATAAGCAGTGCCTAACTCATTAGAGTCCAGAAAAAGAGTGGGAACGAATTGCATCAGAAACAAAATCTAGGCAGAAGTTGCTGACTTGCCTTCAACAGGATGTAGCACTATATGAATAGTTACATCCAATAAAAATTTGCAGTTGAGTAGGATGTTTCACTGCTGAAGCAAGGCTAAGGGGGCACATTACAGGAAAGATGAGGCAGATAGCCTTCTCACAACCCAATTCCTCTCTTCTCATCACTCCCGAGCTTCTTGACTCAATTTTTCAGGACAGCTTTTTGTATTATCATCCTTGCATCACTTATCTGTGCATATGTTGTTAATCCTCAACTAGAACATAAATCCCTTGAAGGAAGGAACTGCTTTGTTTTTGCCTTTGTATCTTCAGCCTCTAGAGCACCTCCTTCCTTTACCCTCTCAAATCTCTCATAGAATTTTGTCTGGATTTCTCCTATGTATTGATCATATTACACCTTGTATTCTACTTATATGTGCACATACTATTTGTCCCCCTCCAACTAACTGTGATGTCCTTATTATTGTTCAGTTGTTTCTGACTCTTCATGACCCCATGGACCATACTGTGCATGGGGTTTTCTTGGCAAAGATAATGGAGTGGTTTGTTATTTCCTCTTTCATTGGTTTAAGGCAGAGGTTAAGTGATTTGCCCAGGGTCACACAACTAGTAAGTCTCTAAGGCCGGATTTGAACTCAGGTCATCCTGACTCCAGACCCAGTGCTCTATCCACTGAGCCATCTAGCTGCCTTAGGATAGCTCAAAGTATTGTGTTGCCTTTGTATCCCCAATTTCTCATCACAGAAGATCATAGATTCAGAGTTGGAAGGAACTTTATAGGCCATCCAATTTAATCTCATTTTATCGATAAGGAAACTGAGGTTCAAAGATGCCAAGTGACTTTCCCAAAGACACACGGCTAGTACATATCAGAGGCAGGATCTGGCCTGTGTCTTCCTACTACCAAGCTTAGCACTCTAGGCTGCATCTGAGCATTGCATAGAAGAGGTATTTATATTTGCTCCACCATAACTACACAGACCCTAGAAGGGAATATATAACAAGCCTATGGAATGCCTTGGAATTAAATTTGTAGAGAGCAAGACAGTCTATTTCTTTAATATTCAACACAAGAAAAATGTACCTCTTATTTCCAATCAACATGATAACCATATTGGAGCTGGAGTGCTGCCGAGCATCTTCTAGCCATGAAGTCAGGTGGTTGAAGGTCTCACGTCTACAGGATGGAAGTATACAGACAGGGTAAGAGACTTATCAAGATATCAGAACAGATTAAAATGGCCCCAAATAAGAGGACAACAGCTTCCACATAGGAAAGATGGAGAGAGAATGTAGAAGCCCTTTCTGCATGGCTTTCTCAATATATTTAGTGGGTGATAAAGTTGGAGATTTGTAGGGTATGGAGAAAAATTCTTCCCCCCATACACACCTCGCAGACATCACTCACCTTGTAATGTCGTACACCAGTAGGGCTCCAGCTGCTCCTCTGTAGTAGGAACGGGTGATAGAACGGAAGGATTCTTGCCCAGCCTTTCCCACCAACATGGCAATAAGAAACCCCAAACAAAACCAGGTTATTCCTGGACGACAGGCAGAAACACACTCTTCTCCCCCCTCCCCCCAATCCTTAAATAAAAAAGTTTCTTGTTTCTTTTTGTGAGGCAATCGAGGTTAAATGACTTGCCCAGGGTCACACAGCTAGTAAGTGTCAAGTGTCTGAGGCTAAATTTGAACTCAGGTCCTCCTAACCCCAGGGCCAATGCTCTGTCCACTGCGCCCCCTAGCTGCCCCAGAAAAGTTTCTTTTGTAGGCTAAGAGGATTGGAAGAAGCCAATTTACAAAGAAAGATGGAACCAGTAGGGCTCAGCTAAACAATCAACTAGAAACTTAGGCATTTTTAAGTTTTGGCCCCAGATATGCTACTGACTAGCCAGGAGGTATTTCATATACAGTTTTAGCCTTTCTACTCCCATTTCTTCAGATGTACAAAGTAAAATTATCTTCAGGATGTTAATGATAGAAATCCTCCATGGTGGAATCCTTATCATATGTTATAAGTTGGTAACTATTGCATTGATGGCAAAAACTGAGTTAACTGGCAAAAACATGGTCAACTTTCTGAGGGCTCTGTCCAATCACAATCTTAACAAGGCGAGTGGCATGAAGAAATAGAAAGTTCTGGCAGTAAATGATCCCTCACCAGAGTTTAAAAGCTGTAATTGCACTTGTATATTCAATAATATCATAGGTAAATTTTCTGTATCATCAACACCCTGGCCCATATAATACAGACAAAAAATACCAGGAACATTGGGTTTCATGATTATTTGTGCCATTTTTTTATAGGAAGAAAATGACTTTTTAATAGACGTACTGAATACATTCTACAAGGAAGGGCAGCTAAAAGCTTTTCGTAGCTCTGATCTTATCCTCACACAGCTTCCCTGGAAATCTGAAAGAAGGAATATTATTATCCACGATTTGAAGATGAAGAAACTAAGGTACAAGCATGGAAACTAAGTGATTTGCTTAAGGTTACATAGTAACTTATTGCTGGACCTGCAGAATAGTTTAGGCTTCCTGATTGGTTGTTCATTTTTCTTTTCCCTAGATTAGATTTTCTCTAAGAATTACACAAATATTTCTGTGAATCACATAACTGCTAGGACAGCAGACTCTAACAAGAAAAATAATTCCAAGTCCTTTGTAGCTAATACCTACACCACTTTAGCTTTACAAAATATTATTTAAGAACACTTTTTTTATTTCATATTTTTTTGTTAGACACATAGTCAACACACCATTACTTTAGCTCTGTTTTGCTTTAAACTCCTATTGACTTTCTAACTTCCTCTACTTACTTTTTCCACAAGCAGACTTCAGCCTAGTTAGAATAAGAAGGGGAAGTTTGGTGGAAGCTCACATAGTGGCTGAATCACACAACAGTACTTAAGTTCAGCAGCTGAAAATAACTCCTGTGTCTTTAAGCTGGCACAATAAGAAAAATCCTTTTAAAATTAAAATACTAGATTAATTTTTCCAGTCCAGGTTCAGAAAGAAGGGCAGCTTCATTCAGGAAATGTTTGGCTTTTAAAGGAAAGATACCCCTATTTACTTTCAGCACATAATTGAAAGAAGGGAGGAAGCTGACAGGTAGAAGGATGAGGTTGGACAGCTGTATGGCTTTCCTCAAGCTGGGTCTTCAGAGTATAACCTCATGATTGAATGTTGTGTAAAGAATAGTGGAATTAAGAATCACAAAACCTGGCTCTAGCCCAATTCTGATGTTTAGTGGCTGTGTCACTATGGGAATATTACCAAATGTTTCTGGGCCTTAGTTTCCATTTCTGTAAGATAAAGATAATATTTGCACTACCTCCTTCAAAACATTGTTTTGTATAGTCCAGAATGCTATATTGGTTATGAGTTCTTATTCCTAGAATGTCAGGTACACTCCACTTCAAGTATAAGTATCAAAATGCATATCAAAGTCAATAAAAGAGTTTTGGATTATTTTATAAAATTGAATGAACCTGAAAGCTCTCCTTCATTTATGTGGATATCTGAGAGCTAAACTGCACACAACTAGAATATTATCCTTTCTCAATTCCTTACAACAATAGAACAGAGATACTCATAAGAAATAAGAACTTTAGGAGGTCTTAGAGAGGCCTATACCACTAAAGATTCCATAAAAAATATATATATTTCACACACAGACACAGACAGACAGACACACACACACACACACACACTCCAGTGTACCAAGATGACAGTAAAACAAAAATATTGAAAATGGTATTTTATCAGTTTATAAAAATTAATACTTGGAATAGTGATTCCCTAGCCATTAATATCTCTGCTCCAGAGATGTGTTTTTAAATTTTTAAAAAGTTATATAGTCTCTCTCAATCTATGGACATTTTATGTATTTGTTGCTTTTAATCCAGTTTGATCCAGTTTAATCCAGAAAAGAATAATTTGGATGATATAGATTAGTGGGATCAGCAAGAAAATGTTGCTTAGGTATCACTTAAAGAGTAGCTGTTCTCAGTTTCTCACTTTATAACCTATATTATCTCTCCAAAAAAAGGCTACAAATCATCTTATTCACACCACCATAAACAAATTACTTAAGGGCTCTCTAGAACTCTCACATTAAACCTGATCCATATTGGGGAGGCATGGATGTCTCAGCTGGTTCTGCCTACTTCTAAATCCTGCAGCTTTTTTCAATATGATTTTCTCAGAATTTCTAGGATCTCTCTCTGGGTTACAAACCAGTTTGGGAAACCCACGGGTAAGAGATACTAGATGAAGAGATACTATATAAAAGAGGGGTCAAAAAGCAAGGCTGGCCTTTGAAGCTTCAGGTCCAAAGCGAGCAAGAATCCACAAGCTCAGGAAATATAAGGAAATACAAGGCAGTATGGGGTAGTGGTGAGAGTATTAGACTTGGAATGAAGCAGAGCTGAGTTGGAATGTTGCTTGTGATGTTAGTTGTGTGACCATGGGCAAATCAGTAAGTGAAAATGCCGTGGGAAAAATAAGTATGGAAATAAGACAATGTAATAAGTATGTAAAAAAGATACCCCCCACACACACATATAAGGTAACATCACTAGTATTTGCCTTTTTAAATGCTGTAGCTGAAGGAAACATAAAAAGATTGTAAAAAGGAATCCCATCCTGGACTTGGAGCTGAAATCTATAGGACCTGAAACTTTTTTTTCCTCTTTAACTTCATTCTTCTTCTGTTCTCAACTCAAAATACCCCACCCTCAGAGCCTTTTCCCCTTTTCATGTATGCTTAGCTATTAGAAGGGGATGAGTTCTTCTGGTCTCTCTCTCTCACCGTGTCCCAGATCTGCAATTTGATCTGCTTGCCATCAATGTTGACCATACGGGCCCCAAACTCCACACCTGTCAAATAAAGAACAGAGAACATAATGACTGTCATCAATGACAGACATGTCTAATGAAGAGTCAAGGCTCTGGCCTCTGTATATTTCAGTTTCCACTTCCTGTGTCTTTTCTAAGTGTAGCTATACTCCGGGCAGCTGTCTAAATAGTTGTTCCACTTCATCTCAGGCTCTAGTTTTATTTTTTACTTCTCATCTGGATTTCCTTCGCTAATAATTACCTTGGTAAAAGCAGAAAGTCAATGTGGAAATTGGCTAATTTCTTAACTCTGAAAAAATAGCACTGCAAAAAGCAGATCCAGAAGGACCATAAATTCCATGCCAGAATTTGGGCAAAATGCTATTTTCCCTGGTGTTACCAAGTCCATGTCTCTTTTATGAGCCCCATCTGTTTGGCAACTGGTCAAGCAGGTCTTCTAAGAGAAAATGCTTCTTAGAATTGGTAGTTACATTCCTGGAAACTTATGCTTCTTTGCTTGTATGTACTTATGCAGAGGCATCTGTCCATACAACGGGAAGCTAAAAGTTTTGCCTCTCTTTTAATACTGTAATAAAGCTGTTACTTTGCTATAATTTTTCTTATCACTAGTCATGTAAACTTAATCTTTGTTCCTTCTCCTCCAGTACCAGTAACAATTTTGCTCTAAAACCCCTACAAAAAGGCATTTAGAAAAGAACTTCTTGCATCTGAAAATGAAAAATGCTGCTACTAGGGCATTCAGCAAGTTTTTTTATATCCCTCACAAATCAACTAATCAGTTTTTCTCTTGTCATTACAACTATCAAAGCTGGAAGGATACTCAGGGGTAATCCTTTTATTTTACAGATGAGGCTATTGAGGCTTACAGAGAAGCAAGTTGCCCAGGTCACCCAGACAGCAATCAGTCCTTGGTCTCTTTGTCTTTGTTATTTTTAATTTAGTTTCAAACATTACAATCACTTGACACTACTTTTTCACAGAATCATAGAATTTAAAGCTGAAAAGCATCTTAGTTACTACTCTCCAATTTTATGGAGGGAGAAACTGAGCTCTAGAGACATGAAGTAATTTTCCTAAGCTAGTGAGCTTCAGGACAGAGATTTGGAGTCAAATCTTTTTAGTCCAAATTCATGCTCTTTCCATCAGACAAAGCTGCCTCCACTGGTTTCTCTCCACTTATTAACATAACTTTTGACTAGTTAAAAGTGGAAGCAAATTGACTTTCACTTTGAAGGTTGCTAATTTTTAACTTCACACTTTTCATCCGCTTTTCCTGTGGCTGGCAGAAAGTCCTTACCTATTGTGAGGTCGTGCACAGGCTGGAACCGCTTGTCTGTAAATTGCAGGAGGAGACATGACTTGCCCACACCTGAAAGAGGACGCGGGTACTCAGGTTCATCCTCTCGAAAGGGGGAGGTGGGATAGATAGCTCAGGGAAGATACTGGTGGAAGGCATGAGATGGGGCTTGGACAGGCTCCCTCCGAGCCGCAAAGGGGCAAGAGCTCCTTCAGTTCAGCCCCTGGCCAGCCCCGCCCCCATGCTAGTCCCGCCCCCGACAGCGCCCCTTCGGGTTGCCCCGCCTCCCCAACGAGCCCCGCCCTCCACTGGTGCCACTTTGGGCTTTAGGTCCTACTTTCAGCTTAGCGGATGGCCTCGCCAGAGGAGTACCTGTGTCCCCGATGATGATGTACTTGAAGAGATAAGCGTAAGTCATGGTCCTGACTGCTGGTCCTCCCGACTTCTCTGGCCACCCACCTCCGGCCTCTCTAGCCACGCGACCTATCGATATATCTCTACTTCCCCATCCGGTCCCTCTATCCCAAGATCACGTCTCTATTGCTCTCCTCAGGAACTTAACGCTTCCTCTTTCGAAACCTCTAAGCCTCCACCGGGCATTCTGGTCTCCAGCCGAAAGGGGGCGCTGCCCAGCTCATCATTTCCGACCTGTTGCCTCCCTGCTACCAACTCACTGGTTCCGCAAAAGAATCCGCCAATCCCCAGAGGGAGACGCGAGTGTTGGCGGAAGTGACGGATATTCCGTTTCCGGCGGGGGCGGTGGGAGCTATGAGGGAGCTGAAGCGGTGGTAGCGGTTGTGTTGAAGATGGAGGTAGGATCCTGAGCCCGAAAGAGGCGGGAGGGAGAGAAAGAAAGAGGCAAGAGGGAGAGGAGCAGAGGAAGGGACCTGGGCGGAGAAGCGGCCGACGGGCAAGAGAAGCTGGGGAGGCGGCGGCGGGGGTCGGGGTCAGAGTCAGAATCCGTCGCTCCCGGCTGACTCCCTGGCCCCCCCCACCCCTAACATCCCCGCGGGTTTCTTTTGGTTTCCAGTTTCCCGGAGGAAATGACAATTACCTGACGATCACAGGGTCCTCGCACCCCTTCCTGTCGGGGGCCGAGGTGAGCAAGAGTTGCTAACGCGGATGGAAGGGCATAAGGCCCTTGGGGGTGGGAGGGTGGGACGCGGGCCTGGGGAAGTGCTCTCAGACAGCCCACCAGAGCCTAGAAGGGCGGGCCGAGGAGACAGTTGAGAGCAGAAAAGCTGGACGAGAAAAAGAAAAAAAAATCCTTAGGGAGCAGAATTGTTTCGAATTGAAGGGGAAAAAAATGAAAGAAGACTGACAGTTTTTGCAAGAGATAGTCTGAGTCAGGAGGATGATGTAGCCTGCATCGGGGTGAGAATTTTGTAGAGAGAATTGAGATGAAAAGTGTAGTGAAGGAAACTTATTACCGAGAAGTAGTTTGACCTCGATTGTTTTTGTGCGAGGGAGGTTTTTTTTGGGGGGGGTGGGGAAGTTATGGCTAAAAACTAGAATGATTTAGTCTCTTCATATTCTGTATGAGTTTACTGCCTTCTCAAACTAGAGGAAGTTTGAGCTGGGCATCTGTTTGTGCTGTGGCAGTGAAAAGTTACATTGCCTTTTTGGGTTACAATTCCCTCCAGGTGATAAATGGACCTAATAATAGTTAGAATTGTGAAGCAGAAGTCATGGCTGTGAAGAGTTTTAAGGTTCTTATTGAATCTTGGATTAGGTGTTACTGCCATTATCATGGCAGACATACTTGTCTTCACTTTTTAGGTAAGCAAAAGAAGATAGAAAGCCTTCTATTTTCTACTGTTTTTAATGGAAGGCCTAGTCTTATTTTTTTTTTTAATGTAGCAAGCGTCCCAATCCATCCTATGTATTCAGCTGAGTTTGCTATCAATGAATGGATTATACTGCTTATCTGCAGTTGTTTTTTTTAACTCTTACCCTTAGCATTAGGTTTGGAAACTGGATAGCTGTTAGTCTGATTTCAGCTCTTTTGTTGATTTTATTGATTTCTGTTCCTGCTGAGATTACATATAAACCTTCAGCCTTAGTTACCAAGGTTAAATGGAAAGACTTTTTAATACCATGATGCTAAATTACCTATTCTGCCATCTTAAGGGAAGACAAAAACCAGACCTTTATCAAGTTTAGATTGGTTTTTTGTGGATTCTAGTGCTATTTTTTCATCTTCAGCTTCTCCTTGACTCATGCTTTTACAATTTAGCTTCATTAAATTGTTTGGAATGTTGTGAACTCCAGAATATTAGCCTCATCCATATTTAAATACTTAAGTACTTCGAAGTCCCATGATTTTATTTATGCAAATGAGCCAACCATGCAGTCCATAAGCTCTCTATTGCTTAGTATATGGCTTACTGAATTACTGTGGCTAAAAAAATTAATCATATTGGCCAACCATCTGGTGAGTATGAGACTATTCTATATTAGCTGGATTGCTCTTTAGACAACAAATATATAGTCTATTGTCAAACTCTTTTCATTTTTAGTGAGACCAATTGGAACTTGTTCCTTCTAAAGCCAAGGTCATCTCCATTCCACAATGAGAGGTCAAAGTAGAATACTAGATAGATAGAGCTAATTTATCCAGAGTTTTCAGTTCATCTGTGTAGAAACTCCTGATTTGGAAACTTCTTCCATTGATACAATAGGCAACCCATCCTTGGACATTAAAAGGTTAAGTGACTTGTCCATGGTTATGCGGTTAGTATTTGTTAAATGTGATTAAAAAAGTGGAGTTATAATCCCAAATATAAATGACTTAGATTATTCACTATTTTAGATTCTGTTCCTTCTATTACCTTGGATAATCAAGAATCACATTTGTCTGTCAATAGTCAATAAGCAATTACTGCTACTACTAATAACAGTAAGCATTATTATGGTGCTTTAAAGTTTGCAAAGCACTTTAAATATATTATGATTTAATCTTTACAATGACCCTGTGAGGTCATTTTATAGATTAGGAAACTTTGGTGGAGAGAGGTTGAATGACTTGTCAAAGGTCACACAGCTAGTAACTGACTGAGGCAGGATTTGCACTCAGGTCTTCTTTGACTTCCAGTCAGAGTCTATCCATTTGAAATAATCCAGTCTGTCCATTATACTACCAGGTGTCAGTCACTGTGCTAAGTGCTGGAGATACAAACAACAACAACAAAATAGTCCTTGCTCTCAAGGAGCTTCATTGTAATGAATGTATCTTAAAGTATGGTTCCCTTCTTATCTAATCAAGTGCTTTACAAGTCAGAAAGTGCTATATAAATAAATGTTAGCTGTTATAATGTTATATAAAGAATATTGTGGATTTTTTTGACCCCTCTACAGGCAGCTAGGTGGTACAGTGGCTAATGTCAGGAAGACCTTAGTTCTAATGTGGCCTCAGATACTTGTTAGCTTTGTGACCCTGGGCAGATCACTTACCCTATCTGCCACAGTTTCCTCAACTGTAAAATGAAATGAATCAACGCCTACCTTTCAAGGTTGTTGTGAGGATCAAATGAGATAACGTAGGCACTATTAAATAAATGCTTGTTCCCCTCCCTGCTCCTGCTTTGGGGTAGAAAAGACAACTGCTTTGGGAAAAAAGCAGTCATTTGTGGTGGTGTTAGAGCCTTATTACAATGGGAAAATATGTCTGCATTATGTGTTTCCTGCCCCAGAAGGCCTTACCATTTATAATAGCACAGATTGTCATTGATCTTCAGTATAAGCTTGTAGCTGGAAAAGTTGTTAGATGTATAGCATATAAAGGGAGTACAAGTTTGTTTTTTTTTTTAATATTGAAAGTACACTACAATTTCTCATACTTTGGCTGTCTCCCATTTTAAGAGCAATAAATATTTTAGGACATAGTCTCACTGAGTGATTAACAGAAGTAGTTAATTTCTGTCTATACAAATAAGATGCCATTGTTATTGTAAGGAAGGACTCTTTGTTTTAAATTATTTCTGTGTCCTGATGAATTTATCATAGTAATAGTGCTTTTCTGATCATATTAGCACACATTTTCAATGAAAGAAAATAGTTTTGATGTCCTGGATTCATTATAATTCAATTTTACTTTTTACTCTGCTGATCTTTAATAGTAATAATGGAAGATTAGAGTGAATCTCTCCATTTTTTATGGTATGTAGTTGACTTTTTAATGTTCTTTTATTTTATAACTAATTTCCATTCATATAGGTAAAATCTGATTACATCAAATGCATGTGTGGTTGGGTCTTTATGGTGCTTCTTTGGGGTCTAAGGACTACTCTTTTGTATTGATGTTTATGAAGTTTAACCTCCCCCCAAAAAACCCAACCCAAACACCAAACTTTCCTGTAGTTTTGTTTCTCTTAAAAATATTAAATTAAATTTAAAAAATTAAATTATATTTGCCATGGGGTTTTTTCCCTTTTACTTGTTGCCTATTTCTTGGTGGCCCTTTGGGAGTGTGGCAAGTAAAAGTTAATGGAGTGACAACAGATTTTTTTTCCCCAGCTAAAGTTCTCACTGAAAAAATTTTGAAAACTCTTTCTACATTGTAATATATGTGTTATTCTGGTCTCCATTAATGTATCAGTCACTCTTTATGATCGTGTAGCTTTATATTGAAGAAAGCTAACTTCTTTCTTTAGAGTAATTTGGGTCTACCAAGAAGAAGCAGTTTTTGTTGCAAGGAGTTGGGAATTGGAGATGGGAATTGGAAGTTTCAGTAATTTTTTCTAAAGCCATCAACAGAACTTAATTAAAGAAGCAGTTACATTTCACTTTCCTGTACTCTCCATCTCAAACGTCATAGGCATGTGTACCAGAAAAAAACAGGAATTTCCATACCATTCATCCAAACAGCACAGTAAACAAAAAGATTTCTGGAGCCTAGGTTATGAAAAGGGTGAAAGTGTATACACGATTCTCCCTTTAATGACAAAATTTCTTTTTATTTGCTAATATACCTAATTAAGACTGGACATCTCATCTCCCTCCCCCCGCAAAAAAAATTTCCTGAAACCCAGGAATATGATTAATGAAACTAGTATTATAGTGATCCTGCCCTGGGTCTGGAAAAAAGAATGCACTTTTGTTTATTGAGTATTATAAGGCATTTTAGATGCCTGTCATGGAATTTGATTGTTTTGATTATTCTATTATTGCTATTTGAAATATGTTGGCACAGGCTTATTGGATTTTCAGATCAAGGATTGTTTAGGAAGTCACGTTGAATGTAAAGCAATCAGTAGCAAGTTCTAATAGACTTCTTTATTTTAATTTCTCATCCTCAAGTATGAAAAGGTATTTAGCTAAAGTCACTGAGACAATGACCTGCACGGTCTGTTATTAACAAGATTTTCGTGTTAATGGCTAAGCCTCTGTACCTGAGGAAGGGTTATAGCTTTTTACCAAAAACTAAGTGTTGCTGCTTTAAACCAAGAAGATTGAAAAAAATCTGTCAAAGCACTGTTTCACCCTGAGTTTGCAAAGGGGACTCTGAAGAGGAAGAATGGCCATGTGCGTTGAGAGAGTTGGAACTGTTTTATTTCCAAGCAGCATATTTTTTGGCTGTAGCTTTCATATGGACCTTTCCTGTCATCATTTTCCTTATTTCAAAGTTGTTAGTGCTTCCTTATCATATTATACAAGTGGGAACCTCAGTTAACTGCTAGCTTTGTGATTTCTAATGAAAGAGATCAGAGATCATTCAGACTCGGTAAGACCATTTGAGAGGGACGGAAGGTTCCTGTAACTGTCCTTCAGGATCTCTTTTCAAGGGACCTGTAATAGCCCAGAAGTAAATTTGCTTCAGGTATTCTCATTGTGAAGTAATTGGTAAATATCAGGGACTTTGAGAAGTAAATCCATCAGAATGAGAAGGGCTAGGCAACAGTCTAATCCAAATTAAATATACTGAATTATACATTACAATAATATCACAGAAGTAAAAGGTTAAGATAACCCTTTACTTTACAACTATTCTGTAGCCCAGGATGATAGAGATCAGTAAAAGAGAATTAAGGGAATTGAAAATCCTAATTGATGTTGTTGGGAGTGGATTATTAAGAGTTGATATAACTAACTCTATTTTGT